AAGAAAACGAGGCCAAAAAAGTAAGTAAAAAATTTAAATAATGAGAAATACGCCTACTAAATCTGAAAAGATAGAATTCTATATATATATTACAGAGTATGCCAATAAGGTAAATGCTGTAATGTCATTCAGTTTTGAAACAAAAATATGTAATTCAAAAAGGATAATTTTTTATCTAGAGCTTAAATACCTGAAATAATAACATATTGTTTAAAAAAATACAGAAAATAACTAATATTTTCTTCAAGAAAGAGAAATGAAATCTATGAAAATTTCTGTAAAAGACAACATGGAAAATTTTTTTATACAGATTTTCTGATATAGCAATTTTAAAATATTGGACATGAAATGATACAAAAATTGTAATTTTATATTACTTAAAAGTGTACTTTGTACGATCTTTAATTTGTTGTTTCTACTTCCTTGTACAAAGTAAAGGAAGACCTGTAATCGTGAAAAATTTCCGGTATTATATTTCAATGAAAATATCCATTTCAACTGCTCTTAAAACCAATTTGAACGATGTTTTTGCATGACATCTGTACATACGGATAGAATAAAGGACTATTTTTGCCAAAAAAAGGATTACAAATTGGATTTAAAATGGATTCAAAAGAGATTTTTTCTTGACGTCTACACACACTAGCCATATGTATCTCACATAACTTAAGACCGAGTAGCTGTGGAACACTGAAATTTTGTATAGGGGACTGCTATAACATGCAGTTGTGCACCTTTCTTTCTCGCTGCGATGGGTTGCACTAATCATGTATATTCCCACTTTATTGTGGGATAATCTAATTCATTTTTACCTATTTAACCTATGTAATCCACTCTGTTACCTGGTTCGAAGAGCTTATTTTTTATTCTTATATGTTTGTTAATTGTGCATTTTTTGCTTTAAAAATGATTTAATCGTGGTTTTTATGATCCGGTTATGGTTTTTATGTCTTTAGTTAATGTGCATGCAATAATTGTAAAATTATCAACAATTTAAAAATTTAAGTGGCGAGTTAACTGTATTATTGAGTATTATTGAACTGCCATTTGTTTATACTTGAAACTCAGTACAATAGTGAATTAAGTCTGTTTCTGCACCTTCAATGTCTTTTGCCAAGTGGGATCAAAAGTAAACTTTCAGTTTTGTGCACCAGAAAATCTGTCTTCTTCCTTGCTGGCCGAATTGCTTGTTTTTGCATAGAAACTCTAATTTTAATTTGGTGTTTTATGTTTTTCTGTGCTTTATAATTATTAATGAAGATGTTTTAAGTTTTTATGTAGTTCTGCTTTCCTGCAAAGTAAAAACTGAATTAACACAATGAGAAATATATCTCTAATGAAATAAGTTTAAATGAAATGCAGCAAAAAATGCATATAATTTAATAGGCCATACAAAGAAGTCACGTGGTGTCCACATGATATTTTTTATGGTATCTGAACATTCCTTTATTACTTCAGATATTTTGTGATCACCTAGAAATCTTTTAGATTTCATTTTTAACCCCCCCCCCACAAAAAAAAAAACTAATTTATGTTTTGCACATTCACATGCATAAAGTAGGAGGTCTCTGTAATCAGTTATTCATTAGCACAATCATACCCAAAATCCTTTTTAAAAAAATTATATTAAATTAAAATAAATTAACTTTGATGTGTCCACAAATGAAGAATCTCAGAATCTGTTTACCAAATTTCACATCCCTCTATCTTTGATTTATAGAATACACATACTATAACATAGACTCTTTCTTGTATTTATAATAAAGATATAAAAAAATGTAAAAAAAATATTACTCACTTGAATTACTTCATTACATATATTAGGAGTTTCTTTTATATAATTTACAGTATTTGGCACAGAAGTTTTATTAACTAAATTTACTAATGGGTTTGTGCCATGACAAAAAGATAAATGCTCAACATTGCTAATATTAAATATTTTGCTAGGATCAGGCTTCTCTCCTGCAAAGAAAATGAAAAAAATATATATATACACATACACACAATACAATATATAGATTTAAAAGAGTAAATACTATCATAATGTTATCTATAAATATGAAAGCAAATTATATTCATATAACTATAATAAACAAGTTGTGTAAAATTACTTTCCAAGTGAAGAATTTTAAAAAAGGTAAAAATTTTATTCATACATAAAAATTACACATAAAGATAATCATAAAAATATCTAAAATATCTAGAATATTCTTACTCCTTGAAGAAGAGTCTTCTCTTTCAAGGAATAAACTGATGTTTGAATTTAACATTTTGTACAAAATTCATGATTTGGTTTAAAATATCATAGTAACCAAACCAATTAAAGAACAAACATTTGAACCTATGTAATCCATGCATAGGACTGTGATAGCTCTATTAAAACTAAGCATTGTTGAAATTTATACAAAAACATGGGTTCAGTTGTTTTGATTTTGTTGAATGTTGGAGGTATTTCAAAGCAGATGCATACTGAGTTACCACTGTATTTAAATAGAGTAGGAATATAATAGTGTTGCATATGGATAAAATGTAAGTAACAATATGAAATATGTAAAAATTTAATTTTTTCTGCCCCCTTTTTTCATTACTGAAAAAAACTTCTGAATGCCAAATCTTACTTTTCTCTGATGCTGTGTTCACAATACATTAAACCTTTTATGGCAGAAAGAAATACATTATTTCTGAAATTTCACATGATCTCTATAGTGTAGTTGAGACTGAAGTTTAGCAGGATTAGACTAAATTCCTCCCCCCCCTTTTGCATTTAGCAATTCAAAATTACAATAGAAAAAAACTATTTGGTTTTATTATGCTGTTTTTTATGACAATTTATGTTCAATTTTTTAATTTAATTTTCTTCTTAAATTCAGTTTTGTTTCCTGTTTTTCCTAAATAATATTATTTTACTGTTTTTGCTACTAATATGAACTAAAATTCTATTTCAGAATCTATATATGTTCACAGATGTGAAAGCAAATCTTGTAGCAAGTAAACAAAAATAAACACACACAGTAAAACATATGTAACATAACAGTGCTACAAGTGAATTAAATACAATCTGAATATTATAAATAAGTTAAAATATAGTTTCTTCCAATCCAATTCGAAAATCCTTTCTTCTGACATTTTCTGCAAAAGAAACTTGATAATCTAATAGAAAAGATTTTTATTTCTTTTCTTTTTTTTAAGCATACAATGAAAAACAAGCTGTGCCTTTGGTATTCTGAAGCCAGAATTACGATTATTTTACTTATTATAAATGTATTTTAATATTAATTTAAACATTACAGTTTAGATGTATTTATTGTTATTTATTATAAATGTATTTTAATATTACTTTAAACATTACAGTTTAGAACTGTTATAAAGGCTAGCTTGAATGAACATTATCAATGAAAAATGGCTACTTACCTAAATTAACAAGAGATTCATAAGAGGACCATAGAAAAGGATTCAATTTTAAGCTTTTCCTAAAATATCGAAAGAATTTATAATCGTAACATAATATAATATAACAGCGGCATTAAAAATACTCAAAGAATTACATTACATTACAGACACTGTATTTAATAATACATTACAAGATCAATTCGCTTTTCAACTTAGATAGAGAGAAATTACTAAATTAAATTAATTTTGCTGTTTTATTGTATCAGCATAATTAATATGCCACTTCAAACTTCTTTTAATGGAGAGAAATTACAAACTACATATCATAAGGAGATGACCATAATGCACATCTATACTTTCATTCAGTTCTGCAATATTTATGGAAATGTTCAAACTGCATAAAAGTCAGCGAATTTAAAAAGGTGGAAGGGGGGCATTTTTCCTTAGCAACACCATCCAAACTTTTGCCAAATAGTTTTATCTAGTAACCATTATTTAGCATTGAAAATTTTCAAAATTACATTTACTTTTCTTTTTGATTAACAAACAAATTTTAGTAAGTTGTGTTATAATAAAATATATATAACATACACTATATTTTACAATTTGGCCTTCTTTGAGTAGTACTGCTAATCAGATAATATTACTCCACAAAAAAAAAAAAAAAAAAAAAAAAAAAAAGTCACAAATGAATGTGATCCAATGTAAAGGTGCTTTAAATTTATTTTACACTATTTCCCTTGTCCTTAGTAGCTTTTTGTACAATCATTATTAACTGTAAAATTTTCCTTATTTACTTTATGGGAAATTCACTCATTTAGCCCTTTTCAGAAATATTTTGCAATAAACTATTTATAACATGCTCTCTAATTAATCCTGTGAAGAATACTGGGTTTCAAACTATTTTTCAGGACACAGCACTGATTGAAAATCTACATGTTTTCACTTGGCACCTTTTCAATAAAATGAAAATGACAACTGAACAGATTTGTTTAGAACAGTAGTTTGAGACTGTGTTGAAAACTATTCAAAATTTGGGATTCATAAGTTGTTTTTTGACCCCATTTAGTTAAGGAAGAAGAGTTATATGATAAATATTTGACCTCCAATTAGTTGAAGAAGAGTTATATGATATATGCAGCTTTTAAGAACTTTATAATACCATCCAAATCATAATTAAATGTGTACACAATAACTTTAGCTTCAATACAGTGTTGATCTACAGTATGTGATCTATTTATGTCAGATTTTTCCTTCAATAAACACAGCCTGATTTCCTCCTCGCATTTGGAAATATAAATTCAAATCCCTGAATATTCAAAAGTAATTTACATAAATGCAACCACTTAAGTTCAGATTGAGAGGAGCTAAATATAATATGATGAAATAGATGCAAAACAAAGTTTTTTTTTCAACCCCCTCTTTTGGCAAGCAACCAATTTAAGACTAAAAGCAGGTAATATACAAGCAACCCTCGTATAACACGGTAGATAGGTTTCTAGAAAATGCCGTCTTATGTGAAACCGTGTTGTATAAGACCCAGAGCTAGTATAAAAAGGTGGATTACGTTCCGAAAACTTATTAAAAACAATTGTTTTTTTTAATTCTACATAAACAACTTAATTTTTATTAAACATATATATGTATAGCACAAAACAAAAAACATTACATATTTCAATTTAATGCAACTTTAGTTTAATAAATCTCTTCATTGTCACTGCTCATATAATGATCTGAGAACGTTTTTTCGGTGGAATGAAATAGTTTTCACTTTCAGAATTTCTTTCTTCATTTAAAGTTCTGGCATTTTCTTCCCACTTTAAATTTTATTTGCTTACTAGTTCTTACTGGAACAACATAAATTTCTTGATATGGAGATAGACGGTTTGCAGCTCCCTTTTGAATTTTTGGCTTATTTCAGCGAAAGGGTCTGTACTCAAGAAAAATCATTTGAGATTTTCAGCTAAGCTTAGCTTTTTTAAAATTTTGTTAAATTATTAATTGTACTATCTTTATCAGTGCTAGTGTCCTCAGAATTGACTTGATTTACAGCTTCAGCTGCCATTTCCATCAAATCTGCTTCGTCAATTTCTTCTTCCGCCAATACAACTTGAACGTCCTCAAATAGCTATGTCGACAAAACCTTCGCCTCCAACTGATTTAGCAAGTTTTAATACGCCAAAAATTTCATTTTCTGAAGATTCAAGCACGTTTTCTATTTCAACTGAAGAGGGATATATCTTCTACCTTGCATTTAATGTTGATGTTTTCAGTTCTTTCAGAGACAAAAATACGATGTCGATACAGTGCTTGATTGAAAATGTCTTCCAAGCTTCCACTACCTTGATTTTGAATCGGTTGCATCTAAAATGCACTGTAATGCTCTTCTTACGTAATATGTTTTAAAGGTATGAATAATACCTTGATCCAATGGTTGAAGTAACGAAAGTAGTGTTAGGTGGTAGGAACAGTATTTTGACTTTGGAATGATGAAGCTTGTGGTTGAAATGAAGCATTATTTAATAATAATAGAGCCTTGAAGCTCAAATTTTTCTGCCTTAATTAATGTTCAGCATCTGGCACAAAAAAATTTAAAAGCCAAGCTTTAACGTCATAATCAACGCCCTAGCAGCTCCATAATCAGCCGATGTAGATTCTCCTTGAATTCTTATGCTATGGATTGCAAGACGCTTTTTGAAATTTTCGAACCAACCTTTACTTGCTAGAAAATCTGGATTGACAGGGGATTCTCCATGTTCTTTAAGGTGCTTGAACATATTGAGTGCTTTTTGTTTAATGATATTAACATCCAATGGAATTCTTTTTTGACAGCTATTATCAATGCAAATGCTGAGTGCCTTTTCCATCTTCTCAATCATATTGGCGCCTGGAAGGAGCAAACTTTACGTTTTGCGAATGTCGAAGATTCTGCGGCAACTGCATTTCTTATTTCTTTTTCATTTTTCGTAATAGTTTGGATTGTTGCTTCATTTAAATTAAAACTTTTTCCAATGTGAGATGCCTTTTTTCCTTTTAAACAATGAATTTCTTCTTAAAAGTTGTTTTTTTATCTTTATCAGACATGTTTTGGGACTGAAACTTAATGTCTTAAAGATGAAAACCTATTCTTTAACATAATGTGGCTAGACGCAGACTGCCAACCAGCAACGTGAGACACTTTTGTCTTCAGACCACGGAGATATGGATTCGACTTTTGGAAGCCTAACGTGCAGGTTATGCATTTTAGAGCACTTATCATATAGTTCACCTTCTGCAAAGTGAGGTTTCTTCATTGTTATCTGGTGATTGTGCTTTTTTGAGACTGGGTTTTGTTTCTGTTGTGCAATTGTGCTTTTGAAGGTTATGAAAGGAAACAATTTTCCTCCTTTACCTGTTAAGAATTCAACGGTCGCTTTCCAACACGTAGCTCGTCTGTCTGAGGAGATTTGTTTTTACTGGTACCGGATCTTGGAAGACAACTGGCAGAACTTACCAAAAGAGGACTCTTATGTGTTAAATGACTAGATGGGGTGCTTTGTTCAATATGAAAATCTTCGTGCGGAATTCATTAAATTTCTTCGGACAACTTGGGCAATTCTCTTATCATGTCAGAGAGAAACCGTGTTATAGGAAAACCGTGTTGTAGGAAGGTCCTTGCAATTTATGAATCGTGTTATAGCGAAACCGAGTTACAGGATGCCGTGTTATAGGAGGGCTACCTGTATGTTGAATAATTTGAAAGAAGAAAAACGCTAGAGGGATGTCGCATTGTTGTAGAGAGAAAAATAAAAGTTTGTTTTGGTTGAAGGCAATGGCCTAAAATTATGCTCTGTACATAGTTTGTTAAAATATTGTAAATATGTTCAAATTTTGTGAATGACTGAACCACCATCACCGATCTAGAAACTCTTTTCTAAATGGTGCATGTAGAATGAAGTTAGGAGTTTGGGAAGCTTTTGTGTGTTCACAAAGAAAAAATTGGATTAAGTGAACGTGGATCGAACTGATCGACTTTCGATTAAAAATGGAAAGTTCATATTCAAGGGAAAATGGAGTTTCAAATTAAGGTTGGGAAATCTAAATTAATTAGTAATTATTTGTAGTAAATTAGTTGCATTATAAATTACAATACAACGTTTAGCTTAAGAGTGATTCTCCTGACGCATGCGGTGTTCGCGTTTATCCACACGGTGATGATGTAACTGTTTATTACATATGTATGTATATATATGCCTTCTTACTTCTTTGCTTTTCTCTGCTGTATGAAACTATGTTTAAATTAATCTCTCGCATTAAAAATGTTCATTGATGTTACAATCTGTTTAGACTCATTTATTTTTCTAATGGTTATGGAACCCAGGAACGTTTCAACTATGCTTAAATAGCAAAATAGTTTCATTAAAATGATTATTTTGAAGTTTTTGAGCATTGAACTCTTAAGCCTAATCCAGTGCAAGGACTGTTAAACAGTTAAGCAATGTTAATAAATAGGCTTAACTGAACGCTGATGTTCAGTTAAGCCTATTTTTATATCTCTCAATCTTGTTTTTGGCTGTGAGAGACCGTATTACGTTATGTCGCATTTAACTACTATAGAAAAGCTTGGAAAAGATAATTTTGACAGCTGAAAAATAGCTGAAAATTTGACAAATAGAAGTTGTATTGATTAAAAACGATGATTATGTAACCGATTTATTTATTAATGATTATGTAACCAGTAGAGAGCTAAAACCTGCTGAAGGAACCAAAGGCGAAAAGAAATGGCTCTAAGTTGATCAAAAAGCTCCAGCAGATATAATTCTTGCTATTAATCCTAGTGAATTGTATCAGCGGAAAGAGAAACGATGTCTGAACATTTGAACAATTTATTTGAAATAGTTGATAAGCTTAAAAAAATGGAAACTGACATAGCTGATGATTTATTAATGATTTTTCTGTTCTACAGTATCCCAAAAAACTTTGAAAATTTTAGATGCGCCATCGAATCAAGAGATCAATTACTTAGTTCCGAATCTTTGAAAATCCAAATGCTATAAGAATGGGAAGCAAGAAAAGGGAAAACTTCTCAAGATTCACAGAA